TGGTGGCCCTGGAGGGGGGGGACTACCTTTCCATACAGCGCGACATCTTCAGACCGCCAAGCCCTAACTATCCACACTGTCCCTAGGGCAGCTGTGACCCTCACGCTGTCCCCACGCTGGTGGCCCCACCGCGCTGGGTGCTCTCCCCTGGGCATCGGTGGCCCCAGCTCGCCCCATCCCCAGGGTGGCAGTGCCCTCAGTGGCTTTGGGGCACTGGCGGTGGCCTTGATGGCCCTGTCCCTGAGCTCACCCTGTCCCCGCAGTGGTGTTCGGCGAACACTCCCTCCTCGTCACCGTCTCTGGACAGAAGCTCTTCGTGGTGAAGCGGCAGAACCACATCCAGGAGCCTGTGGCCGTCTGAGATGCGTCCCCACTGTCGCCAAGAGGCGGGACAGCCCCCCTCATCCCCACGGTCTCCAGGGCCTCGGGGCAGGGACAGACCTGCTCCCCTGGCCCTGCCAGCCCCAGGGCCCTGCAGCGACACCTACTCGTGTCCTGGTCACCTCGAGGGCCTTGGGGACTGGTCCTCCAACGTCCCTGCCATCCCCAAGGCCACGTGGTGTCCCCTGCGTGCCTCTGGGCTCCACAGCATCACCCACACACACACTGTCCCCCTACTGAGGCAATAAATTATGTCCTGGTCCCCCCATCCAGCTTCTTTCGGAGGGATACAGGTCCACTCCAGGCAGGGCACGGGGTGAGACGGGGCCTTCACACCGGGAGAGGGGGACACGGAGCCCTCTGGGGGGTTCCCGCTCCTTACAACACCCCACATCACCCCAGAATCCCCTGTGCTCCCCCAGCGACAGACCTGTCCTCGTGTCCAGGCCAGCACTTTATTGGCACGCACACACACACGGACGGCAGCCAGCACTGAAACAAATAAATAACAGGGAGCGGAGGTGCCACCCGTGTCCCCAGCCGGGCGTGGGGCTTGGCAGTGCAGTACCTGCCTTTGGCTGATGCCCCGTGACAGGTCCCAGTGTCCCCTGCAGCCCCAGGGGTCCTGGTCCCTTGTTCCTCCCATGCCTCCCCTCCCAAGCAGCTGAATTCAAGGCAGTGCAGGAAGCCGCAGGTGTGTAAACAGCACTGGGACCAGCCACAGGACGTCCCCTGCTTCACCCATGTGACCCCTGTCCCCACAGCATTGTCACCCCCACGCTGGGGACAGACCCCTGTCCCCGTTGGTCCCCCCAGGGCACATTCCAGTCCACTCCCAGTGAAGCAGCAGGTTCATCTCCGGAGGGTGAGGGGACACGGCCCTGTCCCCAGCCCCCTGGTCCCCTTCCAGCGCAGTCCCCGGGACGCAGCAAGATTCACCCGTTCCGTTGTCCTCGAGGTTCCCCTATCACTTGACAGGCTCCACAACCAGCACCTTGCACTCCCGCTTGGCAATCTTGTCCAGGGACAGCACCGTCTTTTCGGGGGGCAGGTAGAGGGGACGCCCCACAGGGGACCCGACTGGCGGGGTGATGGCACGTCGCTCCATCACGCTGCCTGACCTGGGGTGTGGGGAGGTGAGGGGGTGCTGCCCTGGGTCCCCGCAGGGCTTGCTGTCCCTTCCCCGTGTTCTCCCCCTGGAGTTGCCTCCTGTGC